ATTAATTAACCACCAGAAAACCTGAAGTGACCGTGTGTCTCAAAGTGGTAGAGCACTAGCCTTGAATGAAAAAGCTCAGGGACAGCCCTGAGATCAAGGCTTATGACTGACTCCCCCATCCCACTCAAAATAATTTAACTTTGTAGGAGGTAATTCATAAAATGAATGAGCAGCTATTTAGATCTCTTATAAATGATGAAAGGATTACTCAAGGATATAGAAAGCTACCTTTATTCATGTCAACCTCCCACAGACATCAAGTTAAAACATTATAAAAAGCCAAGAGCAAATGAAAGTCAGTTTAATAAAAAATACTGCCTAATCTCAATACTATCATCACAAAAATAATTCAAGTAATCTGAAGGAATCACAATATAAATAAATGCGTTAATCATATTTTTCCTGTCAAAACATCTATATGAAATCTTACCATTAGTCAAACAAATTAAAAAAAATAATTACTTTTAAAATTGTTACCTAGTAACAATTTCTTAGCAAAATTCATATGCATCCTTTAATCTACGTGGAGGACATATGACAAAGCAATCAGTGCCAAGTTTTTTTTTTCCTGTGATAAACTCATGCTATTAAAATATTTTAACATCAAAAAAAGAAAAACACCCCACATTTTCTAACTTACTCTAAAGTAATCTTTGTTTTGTTTGGCTTAATTTTTTGAGACCAGTTCTCACTATGTAGTCCAGTTTGGCCTCAAACTTATGCTCTTTTTGCTCAGCTAATCTGTAAATAACTCACATTATTTATTTTATGTAATTTGTTCTTCTTAACTATGGTTGATCTAACTCTTCCATATTTTAATCACTTTTACCAAACTGAAGATTTTACAAAACCTATGTATCTATGAGCCAATTTAGCACCAAAGTCATATAAACTTTGGATCCTCTAAATTGACTGATAAAGAATTTAAAAATCATAACCAGTAAGAGATAACTAAAAAGATGTCATTTTTAAGTTTTTAGACTACCAAACAAAAACTTCATACCTTTTGTATATACCATTAACAACTACAAAAATAAGAAAAAAGATTCAAGTTGCAACCAGAAGATACAAGGCAAAGACAACATGTTAAAATAATTTGCAAAATACTGTAAGAAAAATTCACAAGTAATTAAAAAGAAAATTTGTTGGATGTTAGTGCCTCACTGTCCTAGCTCCTCAGGAGATTGAGAACTGCGGATCAGGGTTAAAAGACAGCCCAGAGAGACAAATCTATGAGATTCTTTTTTATTTTTTTGGTCAGTTGTAGGGCTTGAACTGTGGGCCTGGGTGCTTTCCCTCAGCTCTTCAGCTCAAGGCTAGCGCTCTACCATTTGAGCTACTGCGCCACTTCCGGTTTTCTGGTGGTTACTTGGAGATTAGGGTCTCACTGAGTTTCCTGCTTGGGCTGGCTTTGAACCTCCATCCTCAGCTCTCAGCCTCCTGAGTAGCTAGGATTACAGGTGTGAGCCACCAGCGCCCAGCAAATCCATGAGATTCTTATCTCCAACTAACCAGCAAAAGAATGGTTGTGGAAGCAAGGCTACAGTGGCTCACGCCAGTAATCCTAGCTACTTAGGAGGCTGAGATCTGAGGATTACAGTTCAAATTCAGCCCCACAGGAAAGTCTGAGGTATGACTCAAGTGGTATAGTGCCAGCCATAAGTGAAAGCCAAGCAAGATTATGAGGCCATGAGTTTAAGCCCCAGTACTGGCGCTCGCACACGCATGCACTGTAGCTCAAGTGGTACAGTGCTAGCTTGAGCTGAAGAGGTGAGGGACAGCGCCCTGGCCCAGAGTTCAGGCCCCACAACCTACCAAAAAACATAAAAAAATAAAAAAGAACGATTTTATTTTAAAAAGGTGTGTAACATATTTGATGATGTGTGTTCACAGTATGCTTCAATATTTACAACATGTAACTAGAGTATGATTCTAGTCATATAAATGTATTTATGGAAAAACATCACAAATATATAAACTATTTTCACCAATGAATTCTTCTTAAAAATTAGAAGACAAATTTTAACTAATGCTAAATCAGTATCAAATATCTATGATATATAACAAATAAACCTGAGCCTAAAATTACTGGCATGAGTCTAGTTTTATATGACACAAAAAGATCTGGGATCTTTAAATCCCATATTCTGCATGGGTAGCAGGAAATGTCTTTCTTTTCTCCATTCCCCACCCCTCCCATTTTAACATATTATGGTAAAACAAATCTTTGCTAGAACCTAAAAAATAAAAAAAGGTTGAAACATAGTGGTTATTAGCCTACTGGTTGAGTACATATTACCTTCATGTTTTACTTTATAAACATAAGCCAGTGATCCCAGCTCTAAAAGGAAGAAAAGGAATTGAGTCTACTTTGGGCTACACAGCAAAACTAGGTCTCAAAAAACTCCAAAATTTCAGTGGCTTAGTGGCAGAGTGTTTGCCTTGCATGCATGAGGCTCTAGGTTCAATTTCTCAACACCACATAAACAGAAAAAGCTGGAAGTGGTGCTGTAGCTCAAGTGGTAGAGCACTAGCCTAGAGCTGAAGAGCTGAAGGACAGTGCCCAAATCCAAAATTCAGGCCTCATGAACGATAAACAAACAAACAAACAAAAAACCCTCCAAGCCTGCCTGGTGGCTCACACTTGTAATCCTAGCTACGTAGGAGCCTGAGATCTGAGGATTGCGGTTCAAAACCAGCTTGGGCCAAAAAGTCCATCAGACTCTTATCTCCAATTAACCACCAGAAAATTGGAAATGGCACTGTGGCTCAAGTGGTAGAGTGCTCACCTTGATAGCTGAGGGACAGCACCCAGGCCCAGATTTCAAACCCCACAACTGACTAAAAAATAAAAAAATAAAAAAAATTATAATTTGAATATAGTAATAGTTCACAGTTTTAACAAACAAAACCAAAAATTTATCTTTGCTGAGCAACAAGAAACTCTAACTAATGTATTAAAACACTAATACTTTCTCAGATAATCAAGCCTTCTATCTTATGCCTTCAACAACAAAAATATAAATGAAAAAAATTTGAATTCCATAAAACCCCCTTGTCTAAAACCAGGAAAAAAATCATATTATCTGAAATTTATAGTAAACCATAAAATTAATGGAAACTACTAAAAAGTATAAAAAGAAAAATCAAATCACATATAGGAGAAAAAATTTAAAATTTCATTTTCTGTACTATAAATCTTGATTAAAAAATGCTAAATGGTAGGACTGGAAATGTGGCTTAGTAGTAGAGTGCTTGCCTACCGTTCATGAAGCCCTGGGTTCAATTCCTCAGCACCACATAAATAGAAAAAGCTGAAAGTGGTGCTGTGGCTCAAATGATAAGGGTGCTAGCCATGAGCAAAAGAAGCCAGGACAGTGCCCAGGCAGGCCTTCAAACCCAGGACTGGCAAAAAAAAAAAAGGCTAAATTATGGTAAACACTGCACTAATCTCACAGTCAAAAATTTGGGTTAGGTTTTGTCTCTAAGATTCACTGGGCCTTATATATTCCAGGGTGTGTTTTTAAATTCAAATCAGGGATAAATCTGGCTCAGTGATGCTTATAGTCTCAACTACTATTGAGGAGTAAGGAGGATCACTGAAGTTTGTATGTTTGGCCGAGCCTGGACAACACTTCTAGACCTCTGCTCTACTGAAAAAAAACAAAAAAAACCCACCAAGAATAATAAATACCTTTTACTTGTTTTTTTTCTTTCCTTTCATGCAACTGTTTCTAACATATTTATAAGATGATTTCTTTGTTGCTTTGTATGCCCCGCCTCCACGGTATAACCCATGCTTTCACTGTATTTGATGTTGGTATAATTTGTGGAGGGGAAGGGAAAAAACAAATAGTTTAACTAGGGACACACGTGGACCCATTGCAACAATGAGATGTGCAAGTCCTTATGTTGAAAAAGGAACTTTACAACTTTGGTGGGGGGATTGGGTGGGCGGAGGGGGGGAGTATGGAAGGGATGGGAAAGGGAAAAAAAGAGGAGGCAACAATGCTTGATAAGAAATGTACTCATGGGCTGGGAAGGTGGCTCAGTGGTAGAGCGCTTGCTTTGCATGCTCGAGGCCCTGGGTTCGATTCCTCAGCACCACATAAGCAAAAAAGAAAAAGCCAGAAGTGGCGCTGTGGCTCAAGTGGTAGAGCACTAGCCTTGAGCTGAAGAGCTTAGGGACAGTGCCCAGGCCCAGAGTTCAGGCCCTACAACCGGACCCAAAAAAAAAAAGAAAAAAAAATGTACTCATTATCTTGCCCAGGTAATTATAACTCCTCTTTATGGTATTCTCACAATTAAAAAAAAAAAAAGAAAAAAAAATACCTTTTACTGTACAGTTACAGTTGAGTAATTCACTCAAGTATGGTTTTTATTGATCTTAAAAGAAAAATAGTGAAGATCACAAAGTTGCATAGATGAATTACTCTTTTCTCTTTAATCGTATTTATTTAATTATTTTATATTTTACATATTGGCTGACAAGTACATGTAAGTGAAATTTTGGTAAAAAATTTTAATAAAAATTTCATAAAGAATATACATATTGTTTTCTGCCAGGTGCTAGTGGCTCACAATTATAATTCTAGCTAGACAGCAGGCTGAGATCTGAGATTGCGATTCATAGCCAGTCTGGGCAAATACATTCAAAATTATTATATTCAATTAACCATCAAAAAGCTGGACGTAGCCAGGCACTGGTGGCTCATGCCTATAATCCTAGCTACTCAGGAGGCTGAGATCTGAGGATCACCGTTCAAAGCCAGAAGTGGCACTGTGGCTCAAGTGATAGAGTTCCCCTTGAGCTGAAGAGCTGAGAGAAAGTACCCAGGCCCAGAGTTCAAGCCCCACAACATCTTCTTATTACTAATTTGTCTGGAAAACTTGCCACTGGCGCCCAGCAAGGCAGTGTTCTTTAGTGCAACTATTAACCATTTTGTGTTAATAATAACCTTTTTGAAGATTAGTGTTCTATCTCCCACACCCATTCTTACTTGTGGAGTCTCTCCATTTTCCAGCATCTCTTCAAATTCCTGATATTCCTCATCGTCTGGTTCAGCACCTGAGAGGCGAGCTGCCCTGGCCATGAAATATGGAGGTAGCTCTCCAATCGCTGTACCGATACCCTAGGGTGTTAAAACCAAAATATTTGCAATGAGTTCCGTTTCCAACATAATGACACTGAACAGATTAAATTTATCCTTTTCTATGTCAGCAAAAACATTATGGAAAAGGGGGAAGCATACATTACATGACCAGGAGGGTAAAAGTTTGAGTCCTGGCTCTATTCTGACCTATATGATATAAATCAAGAAGGCAGACATAAAACTCATAAGACAATCCTGGCACATACAGACACTAATAGGCATCTGATATTATTATATTCACTATCAGGTTCTGATATTTTTCTGTTTTTCTCCTTCTTTTCTGTTATAGCTTTTTTTGTCCCCAGAGATGAGGACTGAACTCAGGGTCTTGAGCTAGCTACGCAGGCGCTCTTCTGCTGAGCTAAACCCATAGCCTCTCTTCTTTTTTTCTATTAGCTAAATGATCTGGTAATTAAAAAAAAACAACAAAAAACACTAGTACATATATTAATTAATATTCTCCAGGAAATTTGACATTTAAAATGTTTTCTTTACTCTCAACATAATACTTTTTTTTCTGTGTTAAAACGGAAAACATGGGATCAGGAAGCCCCTTGAAAACTCAACATAAAAATGGACAAATTTGGGGCCAGGGTGGGGTGGGGGGAGGGAGGTTGTAGTTGTGAAGATGGGAGGGAAGGGATGGTAGAGGAAAAACAAAGGAGAAGGCAACAATGCTTGATAAGAAATGTACTCATTATCTTGCTCATGTAACTATAACCCCTCTGTACAGTATTTTCACAATAAAATAACATTAAAAAAATGGGCAAATTTGGACTAGGAATGTGGCTTAGTGTTAAGAGTGCTTGCCTTGCATGCATAAAGTCCTGGGATCGATTCCTCTGTACCATATAAACAGAAAGAGCTGGAAGGGATGCTGGGCTCAAGTGGTAGAGTGCTAGCCTGGAGCAAAAGAAGCTCAGGGACAGTGCCCAAGCCCTGAGTTCAAGCCCCCAGGACTGGCAAATATATTAGAAAAAAAAAATCTTCAAAAACAAAAGTCTTCAAAATGACAGGAACATGAGTCACTCTATGTTATGAAGAAATTAAACATAAAATTTATCTTTTTAAATTTTTTATATCTTAGGATATAAGAACGAAAACAAACTTTGATGAATCAGAAACTTGGTTTAGACTTAAGTAGCTTAAATATGTAATAGGCTATAATGTCACAGGCACACAGTGGTCTCCAGGGAAATTCTGAACTTTGAACCAGACAGACCTGGTTCTCTAAGTCACAGTGAATGAAAAACTTTTGCTAATTGTCAAAGCAACTTTATTATTTTTATTTGTTTCTATTTTTTATTTTTTGAGCCATAGCACCACTTCCGATTTTCTGGTGGTTAATTGGAGGTAAGTTTATGGACTTTCCTGTCCAGGCTGGCTTTGAACCGTGATCCTCAGATCTCAGCCTCCTGAGTGGCTAGGATTACAGGTGTGAACCACTGGTAGCCAGCTTCAAAAGCAACTTTAATCTTTTCAGTTTGCTATGTGCTAATGCTCTGTCTCCAAATACAGAGAGAGAGAGAAAATGAGAGAGGAAGAGGGAGGGGTGACATACATATACAGAAGGATAAGGATAAAACACAAATCATAAATTGCTAAACAAGAAAAGTTAACGATGGTCAACTATGAAGGACTACAGAAAATTAACCATTATTTAAAAAACTGGAACAGGTATGGCTAAAGTAGCTGAAGTCCTGAGTTCAAGCTTGAGTACCACTAAAAACATTATTTCAAAAAGTATTAAGTTAGCCAGCCAGGTGCAAGTGGCTCATCCCTGCAGTCCTAGCTACTCTGAGGATCATGGTTCGAAGCCAGCCTAGGCAGGAAAGTCCATGAGACTCTATTCTCCATTAAACTACTCAAAAAAGCCTGAAGTGGCTCTGTGGTTCAAGTGGTAGAGTGCTAGCTAGCCTTGAGCAAAAGAAGCTCAGGGACAGAGCTCAGGCCCTGAGTTCAAGCCCTACAACTGACAAAACAAAACAAAAAAAGTTAAAAAGGAAGTCACACAATGAACTGAACTGTAATCAAGAACTCTGTACTAAGCTGGCAATTTGTTACACTAATTTAATTGTGTTCATGTTTCTCATTAACAAGAAACAAGAATGGTGATCATGTCAGTATATATTATTATACAAATATATAAAGAAAATATATACTGAATGCCAATGCTTCATGGTTGTAATCATAGCTAATCAGGAGGCTGAGATCTGAGGATTGCAGCCAGCCTGGGCAGGAAAGGTTGTAAGACTCTTACCTACAATTAACCACCAGTAAACCGTAACTGGCACTGTGGCTCAAGTGGTAGAGTGCTACCTTTGAGCACAAAAGCTTAAGGACAGTTCTAAGACCATGAGTTTAATCTTCAGAACCAGTACAAAAAAACCCACAGAAGATTAATGACATTAAATTTATAAAACATGTAATTAATATAATGAATTTGCTTGCATTGTTTAGAAAAGGGCAACAGGAAACGACATATTTTCCTCTTTCATATTCAACAAATTCAACGGATTATGGCATTTCCTTAATACTTTTATTTTTTTTGCTGGTCCTAGGTGCTGTTCCTGAGCTTTTTCGCTCAATGCTAGTGCTCTACCACTTGACCCACAGCTCTACTTCTGACTTTGGAAGTTTTTTGGAGATAAGAGGTTCATGAACTCTCTTATCCAGGCTGGCTTTGAGCCATTATCCTCATATCTAAGCTTCCTCAGTAGCTAGGATTATAGGTATGAGCCACAGTTGCCCGGCTATAATAATAATAATAATTATCATTATTATTATTTTTGTCAGTCATGGGGCTTGAACTCGGCCTGGAAGCTATCCCTGAGCTATATTGCTCAAGGTTAGTACTCTACCACTTTGAGCCACAGCTCTACTTTTGGTTTTTAGGTGGTTAATTGGAATTAAGTCTCATGGACTTTCCTGCCTGGGCTGGCTTTGATCCTACATCCTCAGATCTCAGCCCCCTGAGTAGCTAGGATTACAGACATGAGCCACCAACACCCAGTTTCAATTCAGTATTCTTATTAAATCAAGAAGCTATCTTTTATCTATTGCTGGTATTGGGCTTATTTATAAATAAGAAATAGATCACTACTTCTCTGTACAGTATCTTTACAATAAAAAAATACAAAAAAAATAGATCACTGGACTGGGGAACGCAGCTCCATGGCAGGGGTCTTACTTTATTTTTTTATTTTTTATTTATTTATTTTTTTTGGGCGGTCCGGTTGTGGGACCTGAACTCTGGGCCTGGGCGCTGTCCCTCAGCTCTTCAGCTCAAGGCTAGCGCTCTACCATTGGAGCCACAGTGCCACTTTTGGCTTTTTTCTTTTTGCTTATGTGGTGCTGGGGAATCGAACCCAGGGCCTCATTCATTGCAAGGCAAGCGCTCTACCACTGAGCCACCTTCCCAGCCCGGTCTTACTTATTAGTAAGTACCAAATTTTTTATTTGATCCTCCCTTCAAAGCTAAAACTGCCTCTGCCCCCTTTAAGGGCATACTGTTTATGGCTATTTAAATGAACCGAGATGATTTTTTTTGGGGGGTGGGGGTTGCATGCTGGAGATTGAATTCAGGGATCAGTTAAAATTTTGAAACAATCTATTAAAAATTACAGGTATATAAACTTAAAAAATCCAAATGATGAATTAAACAATTTAAATGGTAATAATTTGAAGTCTTTAACAAATAAAATGAATATATTCCTAACTGATAGACACACAAATTTAGGCATATAAACAAAACCAAATCTAGTTCAAGCCCCATGACTGACAAAAAACCAAACCAAAACAACAAACAAAACCAAATCAACTTGAGTGAATTAAAAGATACTTTCTTTTTTTTTCATGGTGACATTGTTTTCTTTTTTCTTTTTTTTTATTTTTTGTGAACATACTGTACAGAGGGGTTACAATGACATGGGCAAGATAATGAGTACATTTCTTATCAAGCATTGCAGCCTCCTCCTTTGTTTACCCTTCACATCCCTTCCCAGCCTCCCCCCAATCCACACCAAAGTTGTAAAGTTCGTTTTCGACATGACAACTTGTACTTCTCATTGTTGCAACGGGTCTACCTGTATCCTTAAACGACTTGTTTTTCCCTATCTCCTCCACAAATTATACCGACATCTAAAAGATACTTTCTATTGACAATATAATCCAAAAAATTCTTTTTTTTTTTTTTTGGGTCCGGTCGTGGGGCCTGAACTCTGGGCTTAGGCACTGTCCCTCAGCTCTTCAGCTCAAGGCTAGTGCTCTACCACTTTAGCCACAGCGCCACTTCCAGATTTTTTCTTTTTGCTTATGTGGTGCTGGGGAATTGAACCCAGGGCCTCATGCATGCAAGGCAAGTGCTCTACCACTGAGCCACCTTCCCAGCCCAATCCAAAAAATTCTTAAAATAAACCTAAGAAAATCACAGAGAATAATTAATGTATCTAGAAGGAAGATCTTCTCATTTATAACTGTATAGTTTGAAACCATTACTACAAAAAAAGCTGAGTTTATGGATGAAATATTAGAGCATACTTTAATATTGAAGCGACTCCAAAAATGAAGAATCTTCTAAGAACAATACTTTAATCTAAGAATAAGCTATATTAACATGACACAGGGTCTCATAGACAGGTTGGCCTCTTAATCCTACTACTTCAGTCTTCTAAATGATAGGACTACAGGTATGTGCAACTATACCTACTCTATAATTGCTCAGCTGGTATTGACTAAGTATATAAACACTGGAACAAATTTTATAACAGTATAGTTACATCATTTACATTCCATTTTCCTTTGCTGCTGTTGTCTTTGTGTGATCAGTTGCTTTGTGGTATACACACACACACACACAAATGTGTGTGTGTGCATATATATATATATAAAGCCATATACATGTATATATAGATTATGTATATGTATGTATATGGCTTTGTGGCTTACTTGCAAAAGATATTTTGCCAAGGCTCTAAAAAGTTCTCTCTGCCTTAGAAATTGACATCTGGGCATTTCATGAAGTATATGTTTGAATTTGATTTCAAAAGGCTTAATACAGTATATCAAGGTGGTAAGGTATCAGACAAATATGAAAATGCATAACTTACCCACATACAGGCCTCAATTCTAACTTTTGAGATGATACTCCACAAAGAAATGGCTCCTTCAGTGCCCTCTTCATCTGGACAGATAATCTGATCAGGATAGGGTGGCTCAGGAAAATTGACTGAGTTGCATTCATAAGCAGCTAATGTAACTGAAGCTATGTGTGGACCCTACAAAAAAAAACATAGAAAAAAGTTCAGTTGAGAAATATTAATGAAGGAGGAATACCTATGTATGTTAACATAAATATATATTATAAAGAAGTTTGGCTTTTAAAGAAAATTATTCTGTTTAAGTACACATTTCAAAATGCAGCTAGTATGAACAACTTGTGATGGATATAGAATAGTCTTCCATTTAATGATGAAACACTAGATGAGTTAGGATAAAGATGCATTTTTTAAAAAAAATTTTTATTGTAACGATACTATACAGAGGGTTACAGTTACATGAGTGAGGTAATGAGTACACTTCCTCTTGAACATTGTTACCCCCTCCATTGTTTTCCCCCTACCATAAAGATGCATTTTTTAATCAAATAGGAAGAAGTAAAACTGTTTTAACTATCTTAGGAAAAAATCCAAGTTTGTATTTCTTTAGGCAAAAACCAAATTCCAAGTGCATCGATGATATAAAAGCAATGCAAAAGAATGAAAGTAACCAGTAACTTGATAATCTCTTACATACATAACATACCACTGGGCTCTCATCTTAGCCCTTTGCATGCACCCATACCTGTATATCAATCCTGGAGCTTGAACTCAGGGCACAGGCACTGTCCCTGAACTTCTTTTGCTAAGGTTAGTGCTCTACCTTTTGAGCCTTTGAGTTCTATTTCTAGCTTTTTGGTGGTTAACTGGAAACAGAATGGTAAGAACTTCTCTGCCAGGGCTGACTTTGAACCAGGATCTTCAGATCTCAGCTTCCTGAGTTCCTAGGATTACAGGTGTGAGCAACTGGTTCCTGGCTTTGATTTCTATTTTATAAATCCATATCTGTTCATCAAAATGTTATTCCCTGTGATATAAAGTTTCCAAGAACCTGGATAGGTATAATTTGAAAATATTACCTTTTTTCTGTACTTAAAAACAGTTGCTGAGGGGATAGGAAGGTGGCTCAGTTGGTAGAGTGCCTGCCTTGCATGCATGAGGACTTGGGTTTGATTTCTCAGCCCCACAAAAGCAGAAAAGGCAGGAAGTGACGCTGTGGCTCAAGTGGTAGAGCACTAGCGTGGAGCTGAAGAGCTGAGGGACAGCACCCAGGTCAGGAGTTCAAGCCCCACGACCGACAAAAACAAAAACAATGCCCCCCCCCCCCAAGAAACAGTTGCTGATGCAACTACCTAACATAACTTTTCCAATGATTCTAAAGTAATGATAAAGTATGAACCTAATAATAGTAAATTTTTCTTTTCTTTTGCAGTCCTTGGGCTTGAACTCAGGGTCTGGGCACTATCCCTGAGGTTCTTCTGCTCAAGGCTAGCACTCTACCACTGCAGCCACAGCGCTACTTTTTGTTTATGTGATACTGAGGAATCGAACCCAGGGCTTCATGCACGCTAGGCAAGCACTCTACCACTAAGTCACATTCCCAGCCTGTAAGTTTTTCTTTAAAAGTAGTATTTCACACAATTTATGCTGCTTTGTTCCTTCGCTCTAAAATACTACAAATTAGCATGAGGGCCTGGGTTCAATTACTAAGCACCACATAAGCAGAAAAAGCTGGAAGTGGTGCTGTGGCTCAAGTGGTAGAGCGCTTGCCTTGAGCTGACAAGCTGAGGGACAGTGCCCAGGCCCAGAGTTCAGGCCCCACAACCGACAAAAAACAAACAAAAAACCCTGAAATTAAAATATATTAATGTTGTCAAGAGCTAGTGGCTCATACGTGTAATCTTGAAGCTACTCAGGAGGCTGAGATCTGAGAATTGCAGTTCGAAGCTAGCCTGGGCAGGAAAGTCTGTGAGACTCTTATCTCCAATTAACCAGAGAAAAAGCTGAAAGTGGCACTGGTGAGCTCAAGTGGCAGAGTGCTAGCCTTGAGCTTAGGGACAGCACAGTGGCAGAGTGCTAGCCTTGAGCTAGAGCTTAGGGACAGCACCCAGCATTTAAGCCTCAGGACTGGAGGTAGTGTGTGTGTGTGTGTGTGTGTGTGTTGCAAAGCCTGAGGTGGGGTGTGGGTGTGCACGCGCGCGCGCTTAGATGTGTGATAACTATTTGTTGTTGTCCCTTAAAACTTGGGGTATTTTTGGCATAATTTCAGGAATGATGCATTATGTAGGACAGTTTAAATTCTGAATTTGTAAGGCATGGTGGCACATATCTACACTCCTACTAGCATTGGAAGCGGAGGCAGGAGTATTTCCAGGTCAAGGTTGGCATCGTTTTGCTACATAGATGTTAAAGCAGCAAGAACAAACTGAAGGCTTTAAAAAACCATAAAAATTTATTGTAGACTGAATTAATAATATATTGCTACTACTGAAGCTAGAGTAGAAATGGATTCCATAGAATTTAGTACTTTTTCAGTCACTAAAACTTCCTACTTTAAACTGCTCAAGAAAGATTATAGGGCCGGGCGCTGGTGGCTCACGCCTGTAATCCTAGCTATTCAGAAGGCTGAGATCTGAGGATCGCAGTTCAAAGCCAGCCCAGCAGGAGAGACCGTGAGACTCCTATCTCCAATAAACCACCAGAAAACCGGAAGTGGCGCTGTAGCTCAAGTGGTAGAGCGCTCGCCTTGAGCTGAAGAGCTGAGGGACAGTGCCCAGGCCCAGAGTTCAAGCCCCATGACTGACCAAAAAAAAAAAAAGAAAGATTATAGGGCTGGGAAGGTGGCTCAGTGGTAGAGTGCTTGCCTTACATGCATGAGGCCCTGGGTTCGATTCCTGAGCACCACATAAGCAGAAAAAAGGTGGAAGTGGCACTGTGGCTCAAGTGGTAGAGCACTAGCCTTGAGCTGAAGAGCTGAGGGATAGAGCATAGAAATTTTACCTTTCAGCATAACTGATTTGTTCTCTCCTAGACATTGTCTTGCCTAGCCAAGAACTACTTCTATCCTGGACAAGGGAAAATTATTCCATTATCAGACTTTGGAAAATATTGTGTAATAAATGCAGCTCATGAGACTAGATATATGGAATTTTAAAGTGAAACAAAACCAGATGTCCAATATGTCACAAATAGTTGAACTGCCTTGTTGAGTTAGAATGACTATCCTGAATTTTACTCCAAAATAAGATCTTTATTTCCTACTTTGCTTATTGGGTAGAGTCTTCTGTATTGTTCAATTCTTCCATAAGAATTATCAGTCTGCTACTTTTATCAGTTAATGAAGGGTAAGCATTGTAATTTCCAACTGTAAATAGAGATTTGTTTGTATCTTTGTTCAGTTCTGTAAGGATTTATTTTTATATTTTGCTAATCTGTTACTAAGTATTTGTGTATATATATATGCACATATATATACATACATACTTTTAATTGTTCTAGCTTCCTAAGAATTTGTCCTTTTATCATTATGACGTGTCCCTATTCTTGAATTACTATGTTGTGAAGTTTACTTTGTTAAATGTAGCCACTTCATTTTTATTTATTCATTTATTTAGTCTGTCATGGGGCCTGAACTCTGGGCCTGGGTGCTGTCCCTCAGCTTTTCAGTTCAAGGCTAGTGCTCTACCACTTGAGCCACAGCACCGCTCTCAGCTTTTTCTGCTTATGTGGAGCTGCGGAATTGAATCCAGTGCCTCATGCATACAAGGCAAGCACTCTACCACTGAGCTACCTTCCCAGCCCCCACTCCATTTAAAGGGTATATCTTTTTCTCATCCTTTACTTTTCATTGGGTCTTGATATTGTGTGTGTGCACACACGTGTGTGTGTGCACGCACACTGCTAGATTTAATTTAGTCTTACACTTGCTAGGCAAACTGTCTTACCACTTGAGTCATACCTCCAGTTAATGTCTACTAAACCATTCTGTCTTTGCCTTTCCACTTCATGTTTGCTCCATTTACAGTTAATGTTTTAATCAGTATAGTTGGATTTAAGTCTACCACTCAAGCTGTTTGTCCTATTTATTCCCTCCACCTCTTTTCTTGAGCTCTTTTTAAATTTTTTTTAGTATCTTATTTATTGGCTTGTTATAATTTTAAAAATTTTTAATCATTACTCTGCAGTTTACAGCATGTATCTTCAGTTTAATAAGGTGACTTGTCAAGTGACATTTGTCATTTCACATATACTGTAAAAACCTTACAATAGTGTTCTCCGTTTTTCTCCTTCCATTCATTATCTTCATTGCCTCCAAATGTCATACACTCCAAGTGTTTGTTTTTTCTTTTCAAATCCTAGGCCCTCATATATCTAGGCAACGACTCAACTACTGCTAAAGCTCTCATTCCCATTCCAGTTTTTGCATTAAATACCTAGTTATTAAACACTAAAATGAACTCTTCATAGTGTTTTTTACTGTTTTATACAGATTCTACTATCTCTTCTGTCTACACACCTCTGGTAACATTTTTTGTCATGCATATCTCTAGGAACAAGTTGTTTTGTCTTTTATCTGAAAGTTTTTTTTTGTTTGTTTCTGTTGTGTTTTGTTTTTTGCTTGTCCCGGGCTTGAACTCAGGGCCTGGGCACTGCCCCAGAGCTTATTTTGCTCAAGGCTAGCACTCTACCATTTGAGCCACAATGCCACTTCCAGCTTTTTCTGTGTATGCGGTACTAAGGAATTGAACCCAGGGCTTCGTGCATGCTAGGCAAACTCTCTACCACTAAGCCACATTCCAAGCCCTGAAAGTGTTTTTATTTCATCATAATTTCTTTTTTTTTTTTTTAATATAGTAAGGGTTTGAACTCAGAGGGCCTTGCACTTGCTAGGCTGGCACTCTGCCTGTTAAGCCACACCACAAGCTTTTTTTGCTTTAGTGATTTTTCAGATACGGTCTCATACTTCTTTTTTTGCCCATGTAGGTGTCAGACCCCCAGTTCCCTACCTATGCCACCTGTGTATCTGGGATAACAGGTGAGGTTAGTTACTAAGGTCTTAGTAACTTTTTGCCCCAGCTGGTCTATGACAGTTAAAGTCATGATCTCAGATATGCTAACCTTATTTTTACATGTTTGCAAGTGACTTAACAGCAATGGCTAAATTAGTTATCCTGTTAATT